CCTCTCCTCCCGCCACTCTCCTCTCTTCCCATTCCTTCTTTCCTGCACTTTCCCTTTTCCTATTTCCTTTTTATAAGTTATTCCCCCTCCAACTTCCAAGTCTTTGTGAAGAAAGAGGGAGGAAGGAAATTTTAGCTTATTCTCATAGCATGCGCTTGTGTTTATAAGCTTGAAGTAGTCATGGGCATGATCGATGTGGTTCTCTTTCTGGATTACTACGAAAAATCGTGGTTCATATCATAAAATTTAGGCAATCTGTCATCAAACTGTAGAACTGTGTAAACTTTTGACCGATATTTTATAAAATTTGTGAGAGAAAAGAAACAGCTTTCGATTTGTAGAACCATGTAAACTGCTGATCGATATTTTATAACACAAATGAGAAAAAAGTGTGGGAAAATTCTGCTGCAAAATAGCCTTTTTTTTGTACAAATTCATCACTGTATGATTTTAAAATTTGTGTTGAAGGAGGAGGCTAAAATAATGGATCTAAAGTCAAGTGAAGTGGCGGCGATGAATGTGACCGCGAAAGGTGTCGGTGGTGAGAAATTCAAAAACACGGCAAGCAAATTGGAGGCCGAGGAGGAAGAGAGAGTGGCCGTTGCGACACTTCCTGCTAAATTCAAACAAGCTGCAGTCATCGATGGTTTGTCCCCTTCCCCTCCACAGTGTTAACAACATTTGTTATTCGAATATGCCCTTCGATGAGTTTTTGAGACGAAGACCTCGCTCCGAGTACCAATTTTTTTCCAAGTTTTCGTGGAGGGAGCAGAGCTGTCCTTATTTGAAAGTTAGTAGTAGTTAAAGAGAAAGTAATGTAAAGAATGAAAGAAACAGGAAGAAAGAATAAATATCCCGTTCTTATGCCTTGTGCTGCTCGTCTTCGAATACATATCCTCAGATTTTCCAATTTTTTTCTTCCTGTTTTCGGCAATAACTGCTCTTTCAGATAGTAGTCGAAAAGAGCACGTTAATATGGTGTTTATTGGGCACGTTGACGCCGGCAAATCGACCATCGGCGGGCATTTGATGTATCTTACGGGAATGGTTGACAAGCGAACATTGGAGAAGTATGAGCGAGAAGCAAAGGACAAGGGACGAGAATCATGGTTATTTGCCTTGTTTATCGATTGTTGTGAATACAGTAGCGGAATATCTGCTTTCGAGCTCTTCAGTTAAGAATGAGGGATGAAATTAGAGCAGATTGAAGCACCAGAGGTGAAAATTATGGCCAGCACAATTGTCGAATGATTTTCATA